TAATCGATTTTTTTTGTTTTGAATTTCTGCTTGAAAATTTTCCATGGAGAACAGTTCTTAATGGAAATAGTTTATTGTGAAAGTTTTAGATCTTGTTGTTCTTTCTACACTAAGATAGATTATGGTGGAAATGATTCTTTTATATCGCTCATATGTACCAATCGATGTGATGTTCTTATTTTTCGAACAGAACTAAATAAAACGATCTTAAGCTTTCACAATAAACAATTCTCATTATTTCAAGTCGAAATTCAAAAATGAGTTTATTCAATATTTCCGAGAGGGATCAAGGCATTGAGTAAAAAGAAAATGTCAAAAGGATATAGAATTTTCTCAGAAATAAGTTAAGGGTTCAAACTCTTTTCAAGGTATTCCTACTTCATTAGAATCTACATAATGCATATAGTCTCGATTAAAACAGAAATTAATCAATTGTAGGACCTCTCTCTCTCTCTCTCTGGTTAGTAGACAGTGTAATGAATCCAACGATCATCAATATCAATTTTTTCTTCAATTCATTGACATATGTTAACTAATCCAGTTAAGCTTCCTGCTCTAGACTAAAAATGTCAAAGTTTCATATAAGTCCAAGCTTATTGAAAAAGAACTATTCGAACAATTCATTATAATAGCTCATATGCATGTACATTCTCATCCGTTCATCAAGTTTATTTGTCCTTCAAGAAATATATTTGACAATTAACATTATAAGTGTGCTAAGTGAATCCGTTTTTCAGCATCACCAATTATATTTTGTGCAAAATCTGATGAGCTTTAATTTCAAACAACGTCAAAGAACTGTAACTGTTAATAAGTTCCTCACACCTTATGAGTTTGACATGTCAGACAATTATTCTAAATGATAGCACATAAAATTTTATTAACTACAAATATATATTCATTAAATTTTCATATACATGTCAAATTATTTTTTTCAGAGAATGTCTTCGTGAAATTAGTTCAGAAAAGTTACAACGCGTTTTAAATATACTTGAAAATGTTAGTCAAGCACAAATGACAGTAAGTACAAAAAAAAACACAAATAAAATATTATTATAAAAATTTCTTTTATTCGTTTATTTAAAGAATGAAATGATTGCTGAACTTGGCGAATATTTATATCAAAAATATGCTCCACAAATATTTTTGCTCAAATTTTATGAAGACAATTTACGCACACATACATGAAATTGATCTGGTCATTGATTGTTTCTTTTCTGTTTTCTATCTATCTATCTATCTATCTTTACTTTTATTATTTGAAAAAGAAACCGAGTGAGCATGAGACATGTAATTTTAATATCTTCAAATTTTTGTTTTGAAGATGGTTTTTTTTTCATGTTTGTATATTTAATATTGCTTTCATAATATAATTGTCTATTGTGTTTATGTATACTTATTTTATCTTTTTTGTCTTGCAATGAATATATGCTTTGTTTACTTGTAAACACGTTAGCAATATAAATATACCTTGTTCTTCTTTTGTTTTTCAAAACATTCTATAATAGATTGTAGTATTGATGACTATTCTTTTTTAAATGATCATTTTAACATAGAGTTAATGATTTGATATAGATCTTTGAAGATGAGCAGTCAAGTCAAAAAAAAAAGAGCTTATATATATATGTACAGATGCTTTATTCACTTCAATTTTTATTTCTTAATGTATTTGAAAAAAAATAAAACTCATGTACTGCAAATATTTTTATCGAGTGATTTCACGTTAAAATTAAATGAATGTTTCGAAAATACGTTGCAAATCTTTTGTTTGTCGCTTCTTTTTCTAATAATTTGTTTTATCAAAAATATGTTGATATGATTTCTTTGTATTATAATAATAAAATTAGCAAATACTCTAATAAACTCTTGTTGACTCTAATATGAATCAAGAATATAATTCTTTCAACAATTCATCTTCATCTTAAGACGACGTTCAAATGCAAGCAATAGATCTAATCACTTCAGTAGTTGCTACTACATCAATTGGGTTTGCCGTTGTCAATTGTAGAATGATCAGCCATGAAAACTATTGAATCCAAAAGCCAGCATAACAAGTTGTCGAGTGACGATTCATTTTTTATATGAAAGAGTGCATGATCAATTAAAAGCTTTTTGTTCAACAGCCACATTTTTATCTTTAGCTTTGGACGTTTGGAATGACAGCAGGTTGAGATCTTTTTTTCGTTGTAACTGGCATGATCTTTTCTTTTTATAGAAATAATTCATATTTTGCTTCGATTTGACTCGTCCATCTTTATGAATCATTCAAATTTAACTTGCAGTCATATATTTTCAAAGACTTTGTATTTTAAAAAGTTGATAGAATATTCAAAATTGAACATAAAATATCGTTTTTTTGTCATAGACTAAGTACAGTCAAATAAATCACTTTGAAAGATTGATTTGTAAAAGATGTTACAAGAACGTAGGTTATTAAGATCATTTTTTTTTCAGATAATAGAATGAATTAAAAAAAATGATTTTCTAGACACGTATTCTTCGAAAAGAATATGAAGAAAAGGCATAGAATTTAAATAACTGTCATGTATTCATGCTGAATTAATAATGAAAAAAAAAAAATTTCACAAGAATATATAAATGGAAATCATGTCATATCTTTTTGTCTTTATATTCATAATGGTCGTTGATAATGTTCAGCAGTTGATTGTGTTGTATCGCCTTCATTCTTAACTATTTCACCTTTTCGATCATCTGCTCTTGTTCCTGCTCCGCCATGTTCACTACCTAATTTGCCAAAATTTCGATCGATAGATGGTCCCACATGACTATGTAACGTTGGATGTGTAGTTGTCATAGGTACTGATGATGATGATTCTACAACCGAATTAGAACTTATAGGAACATAACCGAAATGAGTTTGATCGACATTTGTTGGTTTACCAGCTGCACTTGGATAATTAAAACCTGATGTATCAGCATTAGGATTTGGATTGTGCGACATAGTTGAGATCAATATACAGATGTGTATTACGTATTCTAGTTTTATTTGATTATGACTTGAAGAAAAAGAAAGGTAACTGGGTAGAGTAAAAAGAGAATAGGCAAAAAAAAATTCTTCTCGCAATAAAAGAACGCAAAAAAAAAGAATTTTTAATATTTTGCTCGTTGTCGTAGTTTGTCTGCGTAGAATTTTGATTCGACATTTTCTTCACTCGACAATGTATTGATGTTAGTTTGATAATATTGTTTAGTTGAAGTTAAATCATCAATAAGATATCGTCGTTTATGAACAATATCATCATTTGAATAAACATTTTTCATAATATCATAATTAACTGGAACAAGAAATTGACGACTATTCGACATTTATTATTTGTGTTGTTGCCTTGTCAATAGAACATACAGTGAAATGAAGTTGTTTGTTCTTATGGAATATAATTCCTAGGAAAAAAAAAAGAAAAAAATATTGGAAATAGAACAGAAGAAAGAAAGAAAAAATCATCGATCATAGAAACAGTTAAAATTGATTTAGAAATGAAATGAAACAAAACCAAAAGTTTTGTAAAATTGATTTTTTTGCAAATATTTGAACATAGAAATAACATTTGATTCTAATTCGCTTATCATGCGATACAAAATTTAAAATTCTACAAACTCTTGTGAACTTTGATTAAAAGCGATGAAACAAAAAATATGTAGAGTCTATATGATGTCATTGCATCAATGACATCTACTTCCTATACGATATCTGATAATGCATTATTTTTATGTGAAAGAATATTTAGTTTTCAAAATATAATTTACTTTTAGATAATACTCGAAAATCTCTATCGATTATGCATAATACAATGTTTTTTTTTAATAAGCATGCTTTTGCTTATGCAACCAATTAATCGTTTTCAAAACGAGTATTCTACAAATAGTGCCTATGAACAAATTACGTTTCCTAAAGAATTGATTTGTCTTCCGACTAACAAACAAAATAACACTTTATACAACGAATCAGTTGGAAAAAGTTTGAATATTGTAAAACGTGCCTCGTTTTATTGTAGATGCTCAAACCAATGATTTCTGTAAGGCGAATATTTATTATTATTAAACAATTATAAATAATACTGAAAAATGTATTTTGCTTGAAGTTCAATGAGAAATGCTTAGTCGCTTAGATCTTTGCTAATAAATTAAAAAGAGCTTTAGAAACACGCATAGATTTGTATAGAAAATAAATATCATTCATAGAATTACATCGTGCAATCGATAAATTTATTTTGTTCTATCGTTTTAAATTACATTCAACACAGACTTTTAGAGAATTAAATTCTATATCTTCTGACATTGATATTAGAATGACGTAGTATTTTTATGCACGAATATTTTCATAAGAAAGAATATTGCAAAAACTATTATCACACTTAGTATTTCTCTTGAATGATAAAATCAAACAGAAATCAAGGACAAATACTTTTGTAAATCTTTCAATAGGTTTTTTCTAATAATATCTCGTTATCTTTAATATTTTGTTTAAAAAGTGAATACAAAAAATATGAGAAAAAGTTGTTTGTCTTCTACATTGTTTTTTTTTGTTATTAAAATGATTCATTGTGTTTTTCTTTTGTACGCGTTGTCATAACGAACTGAATGTCACACAATTGTTATTGCGTAGGTTTTCAATTAAATGATTTAAAAATAAACTTTTCGCTATCAATTATTACGTTAGAATTTTTTTTGTGTAAGTATTTGTCAATATGTTGACCAATTCAAAGTAATAAAATGACTTTAAACTCTATAAACTCGGAATTGCTTCACAACTAAAAATAATCTAAATTTGAATATATACATAAGCACATGAGTCATATAGCACAAAATAATTTCTCAATAAGCAAAATCTTTATATTTTTTAGTTTTAATTCTAAAACTGAAGAATAATAGAAACATGTTAGGAAACAATTAAGTGATTTCCTACTCTATATAAAATTCTACGCAATACATAACTTGTAAGCCGACACTTATTTTTTTTTTCTACAGAAAAAAAACAAAAATCAAGTAAAACTATAATAAAACATAATGGCATCCACAAATTCTTCTTCTATTTCTACATTTATTTGTTTTGTCGTTTCTTTTTTTTTGATAAGATAACCAGCGTTTAGAATTCTTCCAATTTCTTGAAATCCTAATGATCTCCAAAGACGAATACTAAATGTATTATTTGAAAATACTAAATTAAACATTGAAGCTTTATAACATAATAATGGAGTAATTTTAATGAAGGCTAATGCCATAATTCTACCAATGCCTTGATTTCGATAAATATTCGATGTGATAAATCCTCCATTGCAAATCTAAAGTAGTATATAAATAACGGATATCACAAAATTTTTGCATTAATTTTGTTTTCAGTATAACGTGAGAACCACTTGTCCTGTAGACTCGATAATCTTTTTGTGTTAGAAAGAACAAAGTCTCTACTACGAAGCTATATAAAAATATTCGTTTCAAAATACTTATCGAAGGCTGCGAAGTTTGAAGAACATGTTTGATGGAAAAAAATATCTTGCAACTTCACATATAATCAGTGATGAGAAGTGTATTTGAGTGACTTGTCTTGCAATTGGTTTTCGAAATTTTAAAAGATGTTATGTGTAATTGTAATCAACGCGATTCAGGCTTTTTAATGATATCAAAATAGTCAAGTTACAAAATCATAGATTCTACAGGAAACAATTTTATTAATTACTTAATGTTCTTTCTACAACGCTCAATGGAGTTGTTCTCATAATGTCTAATATTCCGCTTTATATAAGGTACTCACTAAACTCTTATTGGACATAAAATATGGGGTTTTACTAACTTCGATTGTTCAAAAGACATCTTATTTGCCGAAATCATTTCTCAGTTACGAACATTTTTCTTTACCAAAAGTCATTAGAAAAATGTCGATTTCAAACTCAATTGATAATTTGAAAATATTAGTTTTATCTGTTTACAATGCCCTGTCGTACTGTTACAAAATTCGATAAAACATGGCAAACAAGATCAATTTTCTTAATGGATGAAGATTTTCTTCTAAATTTCAGAAGCTTGCAGAGAACTTTTTCAACTAAGCATGCTCTTAAAACTTTTTAACCTTCACCAAGTATTTTAAATGAAATATTTTTACAACATTTTTGTAATAGAGACTTTACTCTTTCTAACAAGAGCACTATCAAGTCTCCACGACTAGTTGTTATCATGCTATACTCAAAACAAAGTTAATGCAAAACTTTTACACCATCTGTTAGATAATAATACAAAGATTTGATAATTACATGAGAATATCGACCAGGAAAGTTTGGTTTAATATAAAATGTACCTAATATAGCGTTTTCAAGATTATTAGAAAAATCGATTGATATATTTTTTCTACTATTAAATTTCAATGAAAACATCTCCGAATAAGAAATAATTCTTGAATTCAGATAAATTAAATGGAAATTTTGGTGCATAAGTATTTCCAGCTTCAATTTCATTGTTTAATGAAGATTGCAAATAACATATTAATTTTGATTCATCTTCTAATTATTTTAGAATAGTAGTTAATGAATGAATAGATACTAATTGATTAGATTTAGTTATACTTTCTATGGGAAGTAATGATTCTAATTTTGATGAGTTATATTCTTTTGGTCGATCAGTTGTTTCATAAACTGATGACATGAATGAAAACTTTTAATTAGTCTAATTTATCTAAAAGGTTTTTGAAAGAATAAGATATCTTAATCGATAATATAAAAACAAAGGTAATGAAATGGAGATTTCAAATTGAGCTGTGTCTTACTACGTTCAATAAAGACTAAAAATAATATTCTTTGCTTTGTTATGTTGATCAATATTAGTGCTGTTTGAATGATTATTGATATCTGTTTCTTTACAACCTCCTTGATATAAATTAACATTCTTTTTCTACTATTTGAAGTTAATGAAAATTGAATATCAAATGCAATTCAAAAGATAAAATATTGTTTATCTTATTGTTTGCTTTGCTTATCATCCATTCAAGGTGATATGTACAATTCACAAGAACAATCTATTAAAGAAAGAAAAGGGAGAAAGATGAAAACGACATTATTTTTGTCGGGTACATCATTTACAAAATAATCATGTGCTCATCATATACGCGTTCGAATGTTTGTATTCATGATCCATTCTAGAAGTAGAATGTTTAGACTTCTATTTTGATATTTGTCATTATGTCGGAACAAAAACACTGTTTACGATTGTTATAATTTCAGCGAAAAACATTTATTTTATAATGTATCACTTACTTTAATTCCTGTTTTGTGTGTGAAATTTATTCCTCGTCTCTTTTTTTCGGATTGGAATTATCTTAAAATACTATTATCACTATGTTATGTAAGTTGCCTTGATACAAAAACAAATCAATGGAAACAGATCAGAGACATTTTATCGGTATCAACTTCAAGAGCAACATCTTCAAAATATTAATAAAACTCTTTGGTTTTTTGAAAATTTTCATTGGATCTACTAGAACCAGTTATTTGATTGATAAAACCGCATATTTTCAACATTGAAGGAAGAATAAGTTCGAAAATTGAAAGATAGACATAATGGATACAAATAGTTGTTTTTCAATATTAATTTTCCGATACTGATTAAAATTTATATATATATATTTTTTTTTGTCATTTATTTTATTTTAAACTTATTAACAATATTCCAATAAGTCTTATCTTTACATTCTACATAAACATCAAAATGATAATTTGTTCTTTTATATTCGATTGTCGATATAATAGAAATAATAATAATAATAATAAATTAATTAATTTAATATTGTCGTCGATAAGCACTTATTGGTTCCACATTTGTAGCAAACAAACTTTCATCAAAACGTTGTTCAGATCGACGTCCCATATCATAACGACAAACTTGTGATGTACTTCTTATACCAGCATAGATTGATTCACCACCATTACCAAAACCAGCAAATGATGGTGAACCATATCTTCGTTGTGCATATTCAACATAACAAGCTCGATAAACAACAAATAATGAAACTGATATACCAATAATAAATATAATTGAAATAGTAGCAATAACAGTTGATCGTTCAATACCACCTTGACTTGCTAATGATGAACGACTATAAAGAGCTTCTATAAAATTAAAAAAATTAATTAATTAATTAAAAGAAATATTTATTTACCATAAGTTGTTTTAGATTTTTGTGCTGGCTGTGGTAATGGTAATTCAATAGTAAATTGTTGTTGTACTTGTCGTATTTCATAATAACCAGAATTATTATTTTCATCAAATAGATTATTTGTTGATGATTGATCTATTGACCAAGTTAAATCAGATAATAATCTAGCTAATTTTTGTTTTGCTTGTTCTTCATCAATATCGTCTCGTTTTCGTCGTCGTAGTGCAATAACACTTGCACCATCTTCATCAATATAATCAAATGGAGCATAATCAGTTGTTGATGTTAATGATGAATTAATTATATTCATTGAATTACGATTTAATGTTGATGATCGTCGTATTTCTGGACATAAACGCTGCGAAAAGAAAAAAAAAATTTTTTTTTTGTTTTAAACACAAAAAAATAAATAAATCCATTTACTTCTTGACAATTTTCTATTCGACCATAACATATTGCTATTGAACAACGTAAATAAACAATTGATGTTGTATCAAATTTATGCATTTGAAATATAGTACTTTTAATATGATCTGGATCAATACGTTGAAAACGTATTGATAAACGTGAATCTAATGATGGACAACGATTTGTTAATAGAGGAATTTTTTCTAATTTTATTTCATTATCAGATACACTTGATGCTATTGAACAATTTTCAGCTATAATTTGATGACGATCAGGATTGTGTTCAACTTAAAAAGAAAAATCAAAATCCATTGAAAAGATTAAAAAAATTTTGAAAGAAAAAAAAAATTTATCATAGAACCTGTTCGATATTTTATTTCAATAAAAAGACGATCACCAATAAAAACTGAACCACCATTATCAATTAAACGTTGTTGATTTATATCATATAAACCAAGTATAAGATCACCTTGTCGAACAGATTGACTTGGTAATAATGGTGTTACAATTGGTATACTAAACGAACTATTTCATAAATTTATTTTCTTAGCAAAACAAAAAAAACTATATATATATCAAAAAATTTAATATACTTTTCTAACGATTCTGTCATTGGTATTAATGATACTGTTGTTCGATCATGACATAAATCACTATCGATTTGACAAAAACATTTATCCATATAATTATCAGAATCTTCATCTAAACAAACACCACCACGTTCCATACATGAAACACATGTTGAATCCATTGATGCATTAATAACTCTAACTAAATTTTCGAAAATAAGAAAAACAAAAAATGTGTTTTTTTTTTCTTTGAAATCAAAAAAAGTATTTCAACAAACCACAATGAGTTTTATTCACAGATATATATTGATCTTTACAAACACATCGAAATGCACTTCCTCCAACACGTTTACAATTGGAATTCAAACTAGTACATGTACCTGGAATGCAAAAATCACCCAAATTATGTTGTGATTGACCTGAAGTTATAAAGGATCAAAAAATACAACATGATTAAATAATTACAAATAAAAATAAACCTCGTCGTTTAGCATCAATCAATGATAAAGACCATAAAATACCAATAAATATTAGAAAATCACACGTGTACATTTCTTATTGCTATATGAACATTTTGATATACTTATTTGTACAAAATTTTCTATTGTCTTTCGTTTGAAATGTTCTTATTTAAAATATGTGAACAAGAGTTTTTTTTCTTCTTATCCTTCTATCGATAGTAATCATTTCCTAATCCTTTTGTCATCATTATTCGTTGTCATTCTTAAGCCAATTATCATCATTTTTCGATCCGATCATCACAATGTACACATACTTGACTATGTCATCGGAATGTTCATTGTGTACTCGAACGACGTATTTATTTAGAAAGAGACTGAAAGATTTCAATAGATGCCCAAATGAAAGTATTCATGAATACTAACAATTTATACTATTACACAAAAGATGTTTCATAGATATGAGTGGGACTAATTTTATCTTTTGATTCCAATTGAGAAGAGATTCAGTTCTGATATGAAGTTTAGTACAAGTTTTGTTAGCATAGGACTTAAAATTACTTCTATATTGTTGTGTGTAAATTTGAAATGTCTTGTATCTATAATGTGACCCATTTCATGGGTGATATTTTCTTAATTGAATGCTAAATTACACATGAATAAGATTCATTTTTTAATCTCGATCGTAGTTTGTTCATGCCTATATGCATAAAAACATTTTTAAAACACATTCGTGAACTGATGTTTATCTTGTATTTAGAGCTACCATTGTGATCTTTTAGTTTTGTTATTTTGCCCTAGTCAATTTGAAGGTCAAAGAAAATTCTTTATGTCATAGAGCATAAGTATCATATTGGGTGCTTAGACTTCTGCTTGCAAATTGATCTACATAGAGGATTTGAGAATTTTCGTTTTTGATGTCTTTTTTTTTTTTACAGAAAAGGGAAAGCATATTTATTGTCAACTGACTACAATCTATTGAATTGAGTTTTTAATGAGAAAGATCATGTGAATATAATCTCATGATTATAAACTCTATTCTTATGAAATAAGCGAGAAACATTAGTATTTCTTATATTCAATAGGTTTTGCACTTTTATAGAATATCCTTCAAGAATAAATATAGTTTTATAAATGTTCTAATTAAGTCAATTACATGTTTTTTTTGCAATAATTAGATGAGACAATATATCCGAAGCCTCAGGAAAAATAGATATTACCCGATTCTATTAATATGTTTGGTAAAACTTATCAATCAAACTTAAGATTTATATCAAAACATTTTTGTATTCGATTCTCTATATAAACCATTGAAAAAGTTTCTAAAAATCAAAAGACATAGTAAATTGCTATGTTTTGTAAAATAGTATTTTATTGAATTAGAATAGTTCTATTTCATAGAACAATCTACCACATATGTCAATATATAGAGGTGTTAAGGTCAATGAACTTCTCCATAGATTATTTTAAATCGATGATATTATTTGCGATAAACAAGTAAAAAACAAGATTCCTCTAAGAAAAAATATAGACATAACAATAGTTAAAATAATTCGAAAAATCGAAGTTAGAATTAAAACTTTTACAGAATTAGGAATGTTACTTTATTTTTATTACTCTTTATAATAAAGACTAAATATGAATAAAATAAAATAACATAAATAGTAAAGAATTTTTTTATGAGAATCTAATGTTTTAATTTTTATCAGGTAGCTCACAAAAATTTATAATATCATAGATACGACTAAAAAATATACAAAAAAATTTTTTTTACAGATATTTTTTTATTTATCCGTGTTTGTTATGCTATTATTCATAGATTTTAATCGTTTATTATTTTCATTTTATATGCATATTTTTATTCTCTGATTTATAGTGATATTGTCATCAAATATTGGACCTTAACACATAGAGCAGTGAAAAAATTCTGAGAACTATAGTTCGTTTAAAAAGCCTGTACGTGTGACTATTTTTTGAATATTTCGAGAACGAAACGAGATATGAGACCTGCGGTTTTCATCAATAGATAGCCATGATGACAGCGCATCTTTTTTCTATCGGCCAAAACATTCGACGAATCCTTTCAGATCCACTTTTTAACGAATCTCTGAAAGATTGACTGATAGCTCTAAAACTTTACATAGGAATCTAATGATTATTTTATGTCAGTACATAGACTGGAGCGTCCTCTATATAATAGAACTCAAGAGAATCTTTTATATTTTATAGTTTGTGTAGAGGAGCATTGTTGCTGAAACTTCCTACTTCACAAATATAACCATCATGGTATATCTAAGTAAATTAAGATATAGATGTTTTATTGTGTTCTATCTCACAATAACGTTTTTTTTGTCATCCTTGCAAAGATTTCTTCTAGCAGAAAATGTCTTACAGTAGTGCTATTTCTGAGAAAAAACAATGGAATACGTAAAAAGATGATCGGTAGCGGCGAAGTTGGCTAGTTCAAGTATCTGTATATGGTTTAAATTAATATTTTATTGAGTTGCCTATTACATGTCATTCAGTAGAAACGTCATTCTCAGGTTTTATCACATGTTCTGTCGTTTATTAATTTTTTAGAAATACAATCTTGAAATATGCGAAAGGCATGCAGGCTTCATCATATGCTTATACTTTATTTTTAGATAGAATAAACAGTTCAAATTTAGTTTATTATGGCAAAAGAGTTTTCACCTCAAAACGACGGAAATTATGTATCGGATTGTTCGATTCGTTAAATCAGAAAAATATGGGATAAAAATTTACTGAACAATGTCAATGATCGTTTATGTACAATGTTAGGTGTTTCATCCCGTTCGATTGATAATCTGAAGAAGGAATTGAAGGAAATCGAGATAGATAAAGAAAGGTCATCGCGTAGACTTCGGTCAGGATCGAATACAATTATCATTGTAAGAAAGCCATCAATGTTCTCGAAACTGTGAACTTTTGATATTAATCTTATTTAGGATGACACAGTAGAGCAACCAATGTCAGCTAGTAGTCATCTAAAAATTAATTTATTTGACTTTGGGAAGGATATGATTCGATATGAATTTCATCTTTTATTGGCTGAACGAGTATATCCTACATTGGATCGAATGATGACTCGATTATTAGCCGATTTTCCTGACTTTCCGATCAAAAGCAAAGCAACATTGTCGAAAGAACTAAAACAGATGGGATTTGTTTATCAGAAAACTTCGAAGATCAAAACACCATTGAAATCAACATTTTTCATATCACAAAGAGCTAGATATTTTCGACGTATTGATTAGCTCCGGAAGAAAAAAGCACTCATTTTCTACCACGATGGAACGTGGCATTATTCTGATGACGAAAAGACAAATATTTGGATCGAGGAGCAGACAGGAAGAGGAAAATTTCGCCGTTCAGAAGGAAAAGGTATGTAAAAATGAGTAACTAAGCCTAGTTGATGATCCGCGACTTTGGCTCTAGTTGTAATGTCCCTCTGCTAACCACATACTTTGCATTAAATGATTGATAGATACCCGTCTCGCTATCAATGGGATGATCAGTCGACATGGTTTTCATAAATCGTCTGCAGAAGTATTTCACTGCAAACACGAACGTAATATGAATGGGACACACTTTAATGAATGGATCTATCAAACGTGTATTAGGTTGAGAAAGGAATATGGTAATATGAGGAAATATTCAGAGTTTCCATTTGGAAAAATAGGTATTGTTTTATAGGAAAGAAGGAGAAAATATGTATTGTGGTTGATACTGCCACATGGCATTCCCAACTAACGCATGCATCTAATATACCATTGAGATCTTGGAATAAAAATCAAATTCGTCAATGGTTGATTGATCACTCAGTTTCATTCATCGATCAATATAGTAAATCAGAACTTCTTGAATTAAGTTATGCGTATGCGCCAGAAAAAGAATATATTGTTGATGAAACAGCCAAACAATTTGATATTGAAATTGTACGTCTACCAGTTCGCCATTGTATACTCAGTAAGTAGAAACTAAGAAACTCGTAATTTATTTCACTGAATTTCTCTCTTCATCATGGTTTTTCTTTAGATCCTATTGAAATGTGCTGGGCTGAACTTAAGAAATCCGTTCGAGAACAAAATACCACATTTAAATCAAAAGATGTTGAAAAATTAATTTGGAATTGGCTTAACAATTGTGACTCAACATTCGTATCGAATTGCATCGATCACATACAAGTATATGAAGAAAATTTTAAAAAAGTTGATCAATTCACAGAACAAATCGAGAGTGAACTAAATGATGATGATAATATTGATAATGACTCCGACTTGACTGAAGATGAAGATGAAGATCAATAGCTTCAGATAATAAAGAAATTGCTTCTAATTTCTGTTGTTCCTGTTTTGCTGATTTGGCCTTTTTGTATTTGATAGAATATGTTTCTCGATAGAACTGATCAGTTTGATCTAGACTGTACACTTAAAGATAAGAACCCTAAACTTTTTCAGCGATAATAGGACGTTATTGTGAAATAGAACACAATGAAACATCTATATCTTAATTTACTTAGACATACCATGATGGTTATATTTGTGAAGTAGAAAGTTTCAGCAACAATGCTCCTATACACAAACTATAAAATATAAAAGATTCTCTTGAGTTCTATTATATAGAGGACGCTCCAGTCTATATACTGACATAAAATAATCATTAGATCCCTATGTAAAGTTTTGGAGCTATCAGTCAATCTTTCAGAGATTCGTTAAAAAGTGGATCTGAAAGGATTCGTCGAACGTTTTGTGTCCGATAGAAAAAAAGATGCGCTGTCATCGTGGCTATCTATTGATGAAAATCGCAGGTCTCATATCTCGTTTCGCTCTCGAAATATTCAAAAAATAGTCACATGTACGGACTTTTTAAACGAACTATAGTAACATCACTTTAAGAAGAAGTACATTATATTTATTTGTCTACAGTAAAGGTTAGAAGACATCATAACAACGTTCGATAGCAAAATCGATTTATTTTTGAATAATCTTTTTGTATTCATCGATATGTGTCAAATTAATTATTCGATTATTGCTTAGTGAAATTTATTGCATCTAGGTAGATATTTATTCTATATTTTATAATAGATGAATAGCAGAAGCTCAAACGAAGTGAGATCAGTTGAATGTGTCTGTGTTTAAATTCTTCTTCGACAAATATGATAAAAACACTTTTTATATGCGGCTTGTAGTACCATGATGGAGTTGATACCACGGATGCTTCATGATACTCTTTGTTGAGAAGTTTCTTAACTAATCGTTTTTGAATATTATTGTTATCATTAGATAGCATTAACAAACTGTATAGAATGCACCTGACGAATAAGCAATGCTCATGTAACCATAAAGACAATGACAAACATTGTTTCTTTACATGTTGTCATCTTCTTACTACAAGTAAAATATTTTCTCCGTTTACAGACTAGGATTTCTCTCTTACCTCTACTTAATACTACGATACCTAATCTGTCTTTCAACGCCCATCATCATATCACGTCATCGCAGTGTTCGTTTCACAAAATCCGTCAAATTTTCGGTACTAAATCGACGAGTATAACTAAGCAATACCGACCCATCAGTGTGACACATGTTGATGACTACAAAAAAGGTTATTCAAAAGTAAATCGAACTTGCTATCGAACATTGTTATGATGTTTTCTAACTTTTGCTGTAGACAAATAAATACAATGTACTTCTTATTAAAGTGCTCTTACTAGTTCTCAGAACTTTTTCACTGTCCTATGTATATCTTCTTTAACAAATTCATCGAATATATTAAAGACATTTTACATCAAAAATAAGTTTTTAAATGTTAAATTTCTTAGTTGTTTTTTTTTCTACAAGTAGCGTATTAAACTAAGAAATGTTTCTTCTAATCGTCTGCTTTATAACTATTTGACTTTCCTGTTTTTTTTTACCAAGGCACTCGAGTATATCTGTTCGAGTATCATTATAATATTAGCATGCAGGAAATAGAGAGGAGACGAGAGGCAGGTCAGGTCAAGAAAAACGCATAAAGGGCGTAGATAGACTGAAGACATTCATAGTTTGTCATCGACCGATCCAGGCTATGATGATGAAATTCCAATTCCAGTCAAAAACACTCTTACTGATATGATGCTCTTTACTCAATGTAATTTGTTTCATAACTACGACTGCTTTTTCTCTACTGTTTCCAATTTACTTATGACAGTATTTTTATGCAGAAGCTAATTTTAATAAGAATCAATGTCATATGCGAAATCAATTATCATCCTAGGAAAAACTAAACATATGTGACAGTATGTTTATCAATTATATCGATGGCTTTTATTTATCATGAGGATGTTCCGTTATAAAATGAAGAAAAGTTTTTTGGAAAAGTCTTCCGTGTCTACAAAAAAAATAAACAAACGATAATTAATCGATACGAGATATAGTCAAAAATTTTGTAACTAAAGGAAAAAAATCGGTTTAAAATAAAACCTTTGGTTCAGATGAACAAGTTGATCAACGACAAAAAAAAGCAGATAGAAAACAGCAAGCAACTTATTCGCCTGTAACAAAAAAGGACACTTCTTTCTTGGACGGATGCGAATTATAATAGAATATTGATTACTTCCAACTGACATATATTGACTTGGGCACAACACAAACATGCAAATCTTTATTAATTTGTGACAACTTTACTTATGCAAGATAGACCATAAATAACATTAGGATAAACAATTGAAATATCTCTACTTCAGTGTGCTCGAATGAGCTGACTTTTTCGTTTTTTGATCTCATTAAAGAAATTTCAACTATTATCAAACAAGAAAAATATATATGAAGCATTTCATAAATAAAAAGAAATCAATACGAACTGAATTGTTGTAAATAAAGCAAGTTTTCAAAACTAGTAGTCAATTTCAAATGTTGAAATTCATACTCCATTGCAGCTATTTAGGCACTAACTTTCTTGCAAAAATCAGTGTTGCATATTTGAAAATTCAAAATTTTGTAATCATTGACTAATTATTAAACTAACTACGTAGTTCTAAAAGCTTGCTCTATGTGTATGAATAATGTTCGTTTTGATTTCTTCTTATTATTCTCTTAGATAACAACTGAAAATAAATCTAAGAAATGCTTTGTATGTAATTTTCTTACTTGACAATAGGTGAAACTTCTTTAGTGAGGCCAAATATATAAATTTGATAGTGGTATTTGTTTATGTTATTTATTTTAAAAAAACTTTCAATAAGCTTCGATCAGTGAAAAACATCAGGCCATTCGAGCGAACCGAAACGGAGACATTTCACTGTTTTTTATCAGAATGCTATTTAATGACTTGTCCTATAGTATTGATAAAACAATATCCAGTTTCTTATTACAACTTTCTCGATTAATATTGATACCAATCAATTTTCATTGGACGGACTGTGTTGACTTTTCCTATATAAATATCCATAATATGACATTTTCTCTCTATTTATGTCGTTATCCGTCTTATATATCGTTAATCAACTATCTTAAATATCACATCAATATAAAATTAACTCTTGGACAGACACTACAGGATGTCTGAGCTCTTCTATTCCTGTTTTTTTTCCTGTTAAAATTTTAACGTAAAGAGCTGTTGGAAAATCATGTAGACACATAGAACAAGAGAAGAAATCTCGATAATATTATGATGGGACACTATAGTCTGAAACTTATAGTAGAGTTTTGATTATTATGACGATAAGGTCTAAAAACGAATCACGTAATTTCTTAAGAGTACCTAAATAGAGTAGAGACGCTAATTCCTTCTTTTTTGTCATAGCAGAACTTCCAACCTGTTAAACTTCTAGAATGGCAAAAAGAAGAAAATAGGTCATTTTTCTTACTCCGCGAGAATAGTTTTTTGTTTTTCAATGGTTAGTTTTCAGAATAAAACTTCTATAATAACATTTTTCTACTAGTTTTATAATTTAGATACTTCATCAAAATTTCATTATAACAATGATGACACCTTCAATTTCATTGCAGGTATGAATTAAGAAAAAAAGCACAACAGATCAAACAAAGAAAATTATAATATATCATGCAAACGAAATATAAAAATACGATTCAATTCTTAACAGCAATTTATCATATTATTATCTAATAAGATTTTTCTTTATGAGACAAGTTAAATGATAGAACAACAAAGGACGATAGAAGTGAATGTTTAAAAAAGTGAGAACAAACGAAAGTTAAAATAGAGTTGTTATTATTTGTTTTTATCGTATAATAGTAAAGAATAATTTGACCCTTCGACTCTTCAGGAAGATAAATATATTGTTTTTTGTTCCCTTTTCATAGAAACATCAGCATGTCCGTTTGCCTCATTTACAATAAAAATTGCATGAATAGAGTAAGATAAATTAACAATTTTATTATACTAACCCAAATTAATGTATTTTTTGGATAGGGAAAAAAAGATGATTCTATAAGGCTTAGTACTTAGATATGATACTTTTTGTAATTAAAGAGAAAATAAATTTTCGATTTTAAAATACATAAAAATTCGCTTTTTTAAAGTTAAACATGCATTTTTTGTTTCTTTATTACTAACATGTTTTGCATATTATTGATACATGACTAGAAACGATATTATACTTGTTAATGATGAAGAGAATACTTAATATTTTCACGAAAGTGAAAGTATAATTAAAATATTAGCTGTAATCGTATGGAAATCATACATTTGTTTATCTTACTTCTGTAAAAGTGTCTGTAATAAAAGCATACAAAGTAAAAATAAGGAATAGAAAAAATTCATTAATTAATTCCTTAGATTTTCTAATTTTTGAAAAAGAAAAATATTCAAAATTTCGAGATCTATTTAAAATCATTAATGATAAATAATTTTTCATGATATCATTATAAGTTTAATATAATTAATATTATTTTACAAACTTATTGAAATTTCAATTATTTAGTGTTGATGTGACGTTTCATCTTCGAAGAATATTTTTGTCAAATAAACAAACAAATAAATTGCTTATAGAAAGCAGAATAAAATGAAAGAAAAAAGCGGATAGACCTTAGATTTTCTTTGTCTAATTTAATAAGATCTAATCTACTTATTGTTTATGTTAGTTGGAATAAATCTTTGTCGAAGACGAAATGTTATTTAAATAGTATATAATTAGAAATTCAAGAATTTTGTGACAGTATATTAATTGTGTGAAACTTATCAACAATCTTTCTATAAAGGTAAAAGTCAATAAGTATTGCTATACATGATTAGTCAGATTGCTTATTGTATTCATTTGATTGATTATTTCACATGAATTAAACATTTTTCATTTACCGTTTGTTTT